CCTATTTCATTTTTTGACACTTTGCCCGGTGTGATTTGCAGACTGCTCTCACCCCCACAGATGATAATGTAAGAGGTCAGACTGGTGAGCTTATTAGACACACTTACAGTACTGGGAATTAACACGAGTAACTGACTGTAGCCCAGACTGAGTGAGGGGTCATTGGAGTCCACTTTGAGTCTATTAGCACCCAAAGTGTGTGACATATAACGTGTGAAGTCTATCACACAAAAACACACGCAAACAAACAAATGCAACCTTCACATTTCTTTTCATGCGGTTTCTTTGAAAAATACTTGTTTCCATGACAATCTGCAGATTGATGAACCTTTTAATGAGCATGAAAGAATTAATTAGAGTTGGAGTATCGTTTACCTTAAAACGATACTCCAACAAAAAAGTGTATACTATTAACTGTATGGCTGTTCTTTTATTAATATACAGTAGTATAAGATAACCTGTTCTTACTGTTGGGTTATTTTGATGGTTTAAAATGTGCGGAAATTAAATAAAATAGGAATTTCCAGATTATGAACTGATTTCCACAATTGGATTAGCAGCACATCACCACTGCAGTTGATCTGTTCCTCTTTTAAGTTTAAGTGTACTTGTTGTCCTGCTTCATAAAATAAATACCAAGGAGGTTTTGTCCTCTGTCACTTGTTCCCATCGTCCCGGCTCTTCAGTGGCTGCCGCTCTGGCCTCAATCATAACGACAGTTCTCTTACTCGTCACAGTTTGACCCCTTGACCTCTTGCGATTGCCTTGAGAGGAAATTAGTGGCTGACACCAACATGAGCAGGCAGTTTGTCTCAGAACAAACTGAAACTTCTGGCTGCTGTCATGAGCCCCTTTACTGACCACTACGAAAGCACCACTACATCCACTTTTTCAACTCCTTCAATCAACCAGAACGTTCTCTTTCACTTCACTTTACAGAATATACACCACATGTATGTAGAATTTATGTCAAGGCAAGTAGCAAGATATCTCAAATGATGTCTGAAAACTTTTGAATAAATCTTTATCGATTTTTCTGTCGATGGACTGGATTGGTCACCTAATCATTGCACTACTTTGCATCTACTGGTCTTCTACTATTTAACCCCGAGGGTTTTGGAAGGTACACATAATTGACACTTCCCAATCTAGAAAGCAATCCATTGGGAAATAGTTCTTACTGATGCTTTTAATTTCATCCAGTTTGGAGTAACTTCATCCAATTTCATGGAATTCATAAGCAAACATAGTTATGGTCTGACAAACAGGCTGAAGGCCAAGGAAAGCTGTGAATATTGGTTAAAATGTGGCTCTCTGTACGTACTGAGAATACAAACACACAGCAAAGAAATATGGCTGTAGGAGAGGTGTGAATTTATGTTTTTATTTTTTTTTTTCATTCACCGTGACCCAAGGTTATCACAGCAATGCATAATTAGTTCTGAGAATTTCAACTGACCACAGCTCGGATACAACATTTTCGGAGCGACATTTTTAAGCCTACAGGCGTTCAGTATTTATATTCCGACCAAGCTTCACTGTTTATTTGCAGACTGATATGTTTAGTCTGTCTGTCACATATGTCACACCGTCTTCTCACGCAGCTTGAGGAGTCATGTTGTCAAAAGAAAGTGTGTAAAGTTAACGGTGTTGACACTTTTTAGGTTTATGTAAATTGACATCGACACTTAAAGTTTTCTGTGTGTGTTTGTGTCTGCGCTAGGGGTGTAACGGTTCACAGAATTCACGGTTCGGTACGTACCTCGGTTTGGGGGTCACGGTTCGGTACGGGTTCGGCACAACAAGAAAAAGCAAAAAAAAGTCCCAAATGTATAATTCCAGGTTTCTTTTTTATTTATTTTGAACAGTAGTGCAAGTTTCAGTTTAAAAATAAGGAACTTTAACATTTTGAATAATTAACTTTATTACACAGTTAAAAACAAACCACATACAGTACCACACACACTCAGATGGCCATATTATCTATAATGGCTGATGTCAAATAAAAAAGGTTCAATAAGCTGTAAAACTAAAAAGAATGTCTTGCAAATATTACAAAATAAATAATAAGATAGTGTTTCAATCATAATCAATAAAAGCCGGGGTCCTCTACTATTGCATAAGGGCACAGCCTAGGCCAAAAGCATAAAAGCATATGCCAAAAGCTTCCGTTATTTATTTTGGTCTCTCTGCTTTCATGTCTATTGGCTTCTTAAAAACAGCGGGGATAAGCTGTTGAACTGCTGTTGTCTTTTGCCGGGCTCCGGTGATTGCCAAATCTGGCTGATGCCTTCTGATATGATTTAGCATGTTTGGCTTGTGTTACCATTAGCATACCGCACCGCTGTCGAACAACGCCGGCACACCGTCCTTGTCCGATCCACCACTCGCACTCCATCATTATTGTAGTCCACATGGAACCCGAAATGTTCCCACACAGCTGATTTAAAAGAAGCAGGTGGGTCTTCTAGCTCCTGTGTGTTATCTGAACTAGAGATGGCTGAGTCCTGATTCATCCGGATCATTAACCCGGATCCTAGTAATGAGCTGGGAGTGACGAGTCTCCCCTCTCCATTAACCCGAGTCCTTTGAGTCCTACACCTGGTGACGTACAAATTAAAACCATAAATTGCTTCACTCGCTACTCTCCTTATAACATGTACATTTTAAAATCACATTACAATGTACCCCAGTCCATCTGCCTAGCCTTTAGCAAGTAGGATAGCTGCCAGAAGTTATCGTTTGGCTCAGGGGACGCAGACCAGTGAAACTTCCTGCAGACTCAGGGGGGGACTCAGAGCCGTAACAGTAGCAGATCCAGAGATCCAGAGATCCAGACTCATCATGCACGAGTCAACAGCAGACTCAGATTTGCAAATCCTGACTGACTGAATCAAGGGAACTTCCTTCACTGTGCAAAACATAGCAGACTCGTGCGGACTCGTAACCGTAGCAGATCCAGAATCATCATGCGCGAGTCAACAGCAGACTCAGATTCGGAGAGCGGACTGAATGAGTGGATTGCTCCACACAGCGCCAAACAGCAAACGGTTTCGGACTCGTCATGGTTTTCAGACTCAGTGAGTGTCAGCTCTGTTTGTGATAACGTAGATGCATACTGTGCACAGATCCTTTGACACACCCCTAGTGTGCGCAGGTCATCACTTTTTAATCCGATGTACATTTACTGCATTTGGCAGACGGACGGATTCTGCTCCTGTTTATTCTTGTGATTAACTGGCCTTGTAAATGGGAAACAAACAAACTGGCTTGGGCTGAGCCACACAACCGTATTCCAGTCAGGACAGGGAAAGGCTATGGATGTATGAAGAGAAAGGCAGTGGGAGCGATAGGGACAGCAAATCTGGCAAACGTTCTGAAGGAGCACATGATGACGTATTCTAATGTCCTAATTTCAACAGTCCCAAACTCTTATTCTCCAAAATAACTCAAAGTTATTACATTCGCTTTAATATAAAGTTAAAAAAAAAGTGATAGGCAGACCTTTTTCTTCAAATGTTAAGGTCAGGAATGAAGAAATATTGAAATTGTTTTTGATTAATGTTGTCCTTGAATAACTAATTGAAAAAACAAATGTAATATTAACTTAACTTAACTCATTTTCTAGCACTTGTATCTCATTCAGAGCATCATACTTGATCATCAAAATGATTGATAGTGTTTTCTTTTACTGAGCACACACTTTCAATTTTATTTTGGTCAATTATCTTTGTTGAAATCCCTGGACTCAATCATACAAATAATGGATATAAGCAAGAATTGTTGATGATACTGTTCCTCTTTTTCATGCAGAATGTAAACTCCTTTGCTGCATCACTCAAAGTATAAGTCACAATTTTGAAAATGTGTTCCAGTTTTAAGTCCCCTTTTTTCATACAATGCTTGGACTTGATCAATATACTGAATATAACGGTATAAATTGCTGTTGAAATTGTGATGACAATGAGCTCTGACTTTAGCCATCAGCTACAAAGACTGATATTATTACAGACGTGCTTCATATTGAAAGAGCTCCTCTGTTCTTACCTGCAGGATCCTACCACGATTGGCTTCTTAGGAGAGGCTTGTCATGGTCGTTATTTATACCAGGTGGCCACACACACTGGCACAGAGTGTGCTAATAACAAACACTGCAACCCCTCTTTGACAACCCTTTATAGCGGAGAGAAGATGTAGAGGTGAAGAGGTCACTTGTTCCCAGAGGGAGATTGCATCTCGGCAGCTAGATTGCATTTCATCGTTCAAGGCTTCATCTCATAGCATTACCAATAAGAACAGAAGTATGACAAATCAAAGTAATCCCAGCAACATAACCACAGGGGCCAGCCTCACTTAAATCTCTGTCAAGTAGAAAAATTGGTCTTTTGCACACAAAAAAAAACCCCAGCTGAAGCTCTGATGAGATCTTGAAGATGTGAAGCTCAGCTGTGGAGTATGACTTCACAGTGCGAGGGAAAGTTATCTGTAGTGTGGTTATCGGAGTGTGATTAGCAGAGACCGACTGACAGCAGGGCTCAAAGGTCCCCATGGCAAACAGATACAATGCAGCAGATTGACAGCAGATACTTTGCAATGTGCTGTTCTGTGGGGAGGAGAGTTCAGCCGAGGTCCAGCAGGTGAAGAATAAAAGCACGTCTGTAACGCTGTGATTGACCAGTGTACACCCAATGCAAGCTCAAAATATGCCGAAGCTTAACAATGCAGCGTACACCCACACTGAAGAACTGTATAGGGAACAAAAAAGGCGTCACTCACCCACACAGTGGGCTTTGTACACATGATCTAAATGCTTGATCTATCTCTTTCTGAACACCCCCCCTTTCTTCACTCCTCTCACATCACTATGGTTGCACAGGCACACATATCCAAGATAACAAAAGTGTGAGTAACATAGAATGAAAACATGCGAAAGGCAAGAAAGCAGAAAACCCCTTTTGGCTAAACAAACAAACACTCAGAGGAAAATATTAAGGACTCACCCAGAAGAGGAGGTTGAAGAAGACCATTCCGTATCGCAGGGCCATCATGCAACCCTCGGCCATCCTGCAGCGCCGCAGTTCTAGGAGGAATATGAAGGAGAGGTCCAGGTAAAACACCACATACTTCTTCCCCTGGGCATAGCGCCCCTTTGACGTCTCCGGCCCTTTTGTCGTGTGGAAGCCGAACGCAAACGGTGGCCGCTTGTACTCAAACTCCCCACTGAAGCGGTGAAAGCCAGAAGTGAACGGCGGCGTGTCGGGTTTGCTGTCCAGAGACGGACTGCGCCGGTACGGAGTCTCGTCTGTGCTCGAGCGTCTCATTATGGAGACTGAAGGAACTTTAAGAGTCTCTTTATAGTCACTCTGTGTACTTCAGTACTTAGTCCACACAGAGGGACCAAAAGTTATTCCGTTGGGCGCTGAGAGATTGTTTTTGTGATGTTTTTACCTATTCCTCAGAATAGACCCCTCATCAAACTCTGCAACGGCTTATTCAATTCTACCCCAGGTGTGACAAACTTGATCTCACTTAATCTGTGAAAGATAATGTCCTGTAGTAGTTCCGCTCTTTAATCCAATAGTGCCACTACATCCAGCAGGAGACTTTGCATAATCCTGCCGCAACAACTGTGTAATTCTGTGTATTTAGGACATAATCCCCACACACACTTTCACATCTGCACATCCTTGTTTCCCTCTCTGTAATCGCCCCAAACACAAGTGTCATGCTCTGAGAGATAAACTGGTTTGCAGTTTCATCTCATAACGATCCAATCAGGTAAATGACTGGAGGGCTTCGAGTCGACCTCTCCAGCTGCTTTGGGCTGGCGAAATGATCCAAGACGTCCTACCTGGACTCATGGGAAATTCCTGAGCAGGTACTCTCGGCTGGGAGATAACAGCACTCCTGATTCTGCCAATCAACTTCATGTATTCAGTAACACATCCACTGAGAATGAAATGCTACGCACGGGTCTAAGGCTTGTGGTGGTGGCTGTCGATATGCTTTTGCTGACATGCAGTGAAAAAGGATAAGAAGATGAGAGGGAAATATGGTGTTATGCATGTGAGGGGAAGGATGAAAAGCGGCATGAAAGGATGAATAACGCTTGTGAGCAGTACATTCTTTGGCTTTTTCAATATATCCTTTTGTTAAAATTCCTGCCTTGCCCAAACTTGTCCTTTTTGTCTCTGAAAAGTGTCTAGAGGTTACTCATCTCCACAGCCTCTTCCCCACACATTTAATAATTCACCCTCTTCAACTCCCTCTTATTGTCCTCCTGCACCTCACACTGAGCCCCTCTCTGCGCTCCCCCCTCTGTGCTGCCGGCGGTTAATTAATTTCCAGACTCTCATCAGTGAGGCAAAGTGTGCCGTGTCCCCTCTTCTCGTCTCTCCTTCCTCCGCTACAGCATTTCTCCCTTCTTCTCTAGGTGGGCAAGGAGATCAAGGTGTCCGCTGGGGTCATGGCAAAGCCGCGAGAGAAGAATAAAGCAATAAGAAGAGACAGGCAGGCAGAAGAGAAAGACACTGTTTCCACAGAGAAGCAAAAGACTGCAGTGTTTGAGCGGTAGTCCGGACTCTCTGCCTGAAGCTCCCTCCCTCTTTCTCTTCACAGGCTCCTGTTCTCTTTCTCTCTCTGTCCCCCCTCCCCTTTTTCTCTGCTCACTTCCCTCACAAGCTGCGATGCTCTCCTCTCCACACGCACAATCTCAAACACCCCATCCCTCCTCTGAAACTGTTCCCAAAATCTGGCAGTGCGAAAGGCAGGGGCGGTCATTCATATTCTGGCCACACCCAACGAGGGAGCGCATCCAATCAGTGTCTAGCAGCCCCATCCTCCCTCGTGTACACGCCAATCATGCCCCAGATAGCACTCTCACACACACAACCTGGTGTGTTGTTAACATACCAGTGCTCAGAAACCTGCTGCACTTGCGCTAGTGCTTCCTCTTCCTCTGCTCTCTGCCTGAAACTCATTCCACATGCAGAGGCTGTTTTCGAGCACAGCCCAGGCTGCTTTCAGTGCACGCTTGGCTTCAGTCGTGTTCCTCTCTCCCTCGGGACCTGGGCTTGGGTCATACATGTTGCCACACTTGGCACAGATTTCCACTCTAGAAACAAGTCACCTCAAGTGTGTGACTCTTTGAAAGTATGGGAATCTCACACTGCTGCTGACATTCACACAAATTACCGCATGCTCTCCACAACCTGGTGGCCATGTGGGTCAGTGGCTTTATGAGTCCACAGGGACGTTTCAGAGCTGCCAAGGTACTGACTTTAATCACGTATTTAAAGGATGTCTGTCTTTCCTCCTGCATGTCATTTTTTTGTCAGACTGCAGAGGTGGCAGTCTTAGAGATTGAATGTGTCTGACTGACAGATGGACTGACTGTCTGACAGATAAGAGCATGCACACATTTTCGGCTTATGGTTTTCACCCCTAAAAAGGTGAATGGACATGAGGCAGTGATATGATTAGAAAGGTTACCTTAAGAGTATCCACGTCCTTTACAACAATGGCATAGGTTACATGCAGGTCAACAGCAAGGAGCACTACCACCATCATCTCAGCATGGTGAACTGGGTTTTCAGTCAAATGTAGAATTTGGAAATGGAATTGAAATAATTATAAATGCAGCAATGAAAACTGTAAAAAATAATATAGAAAACATGAAACACGAACATGGCATTTGTGTTTCAAGTATTAATTAGATGAAGGTTAGTCCCCTAATCACTGCATGCCAATCTAATGTTTTAAATTGATGCCATTTTATGTTCATGATTCATCCTCTTTTCATCTGCAAACGATGCTTTAATCAATACACCAACTATTGTACCTAAGCCAAGCGTAAAAACTGTTTTCATCCATCATTTCCATCTGTTGTTTACATAGGCAGAAATAACGTGTGCATAACAAGATAGATGCACTTTAGACCTATTAGTGCTTTTCTAAATTCTAAAGAGCTGAGTTTTTAACCAAGGAAGGTTTTACAAGAAACAGCTATAAGATATGTGTCCCTTATACTGAGCGTGCTTATTCACACATAATCCATTTTGCTGAATCCCTTGAAATATATTATATGTATACAGCATGGTGTTCATCCCATTTATATACATTTTGTGTGTAATTGGCAGAATTATTTCCGCCACTTTCACAAAATACAGACTGGCCTGATTCGTGAAGCAGGGAACACATTCTTCTGTAAATGGTTCGCCTTTGACATACTGTGACGCTATGAAGCAAAAAACATTACTGTGTACAGTTTAGAAACACACAAACCAGAACACAAAATACACATGCAGAGGACCCCACGGGTAGCGGCAGCTTTGATGTCTTCAGCGTGTTAAAATTCACAGAGGGAGAAAAAAAAGGTTTTGGCTGCAGCAGGGAAACATGATACACAACGTGATGAAATCTTACTCTAAGACTGTAGGTTTTACAAGTAGGGGTGCATATTATAGTACTTTATAAATCCCTGTGATGGGACAAAAGGATGTAAATGGATTGACGTGCACAGTCAGATACACAAAGGGTGCTATGCTGCACTCTGGTCTCTGCGCAGTCATATAGGGCTATGAATCTGGCTCGCTTTCCCTTGTTTAAAGCTGCAATATGAGTCTCCCATGAATGTCTCCACTAAATGACAAAACAGGCTACAAGGATAACTGCAGTGCGAACAGAGCAGCAATATGAGCATATGAAATGGGAATGGCTCTCCATAGGACTGGCAAATTATTTAGAGCTGTTTGCCTGGTAGGATTTTAGCTTATGCAACCACAATCATTTCATACTGATAACATGAGGCTATTTTCGGAAAGTTAAAGGGGACATATGCAAATGTTCATGTCATACTTGTATTTTGGCTTTCTTTTAGCACACGTTACCATGCTTTTATGTATAAAAAAGTCATAATTTTGTCAACACTGTCTGTCTGAATATACCTGTGTTCATCCTCTGTCTGAAACACTTTTTTACAATGTAATTGTAACTGTCTTCAAAACCCCCTTCTGATAAAAACCTCATTCTGCTCTGATTGGCTTTTTAAAAAGTTGCTATGAGTCTAATACATAGACTGAGGCAGTCTACAAAAAACTAACTTGGTTGTCACATTTCACATTTTGTGAGTTTGTAAGCACTCTATGTACCCAAATGTATGTGCATAAGCAGTACAATTTCCCCTTTTTAACATTTTCATACTGTCAATGCCTGTTTCAAGGCAACCTGTTTTCTCCTTTGATTATTAATAAGGCTATTAATAATGGTTATGTCCACACAATTCAACAAAACATCTATTATGTTCAAACTGGAGCAGAAGGACAGAACAGTTTTTATTGCTTAAATATTTGTCCAGCTTTTATCTCTGCATCACATCTTGATTATAATTTTTCTAATTTGCCTGGCTCAGTTCTCGTCAAGATGTCACTTTCTAAAAACACAGCTGTGTGCGAGGCCCATGAGCCAACTGATAGCACATTCTCTCAACAGCTCGACACCAATGATCATGAGGAATCAGCCATGAAATAAATAACAACAGCTCTGATGGGAAATCAACATGTTTTACCCAACCAAGCTGAACTCTTGAGGGATTTAAGCTTGCTTCAATGACAACATGTATGGACAATAAAACAAAACTAGATGAATCAAGATATTGACTGTGTTAACAGAGTGCCACAATAAGAACAAAAATATTGGTAGTGATTATATAATAAGATATATCATACAATATCGTTTTTATTTGGGAATTACATAATTTATTATAAGTGATAACAGTGAAGGGAATTGGTCTATAATGTTTTTGGATTCAGGCAAAGTGTGACTGCCTGAGTTTCCCTGTGGGAAAGCATGGCCTCACGTTCTTGACTTCAGTCAAATCTATATTGATGGTAGTAACGGTGGTGCTGAGTACTGTTGGTATAGCAATGGAATTGCTGCACAAGCATGCAATGCATTTAGCATGCGGTTGTGAAACATAAGATTTAATTGTATTATTAGATGTGTCTCATTGACATCAAAAAACGAAATCAACAATCTATCAAAGGCAGGCAATAGGCTAGTGAGATCCTGGGTTATAATGGTGAATTCCACAAAAATGCGATAAATGGGGTGCTCTGGGAGCCTACCTTGGCAAATGTAGTGATTGAAAGTGGATTCAACATTTATTTTATCCACTACGCACCATCATTCGAGGAAAGTAACAAAAAACAATCACTTAAAGGTGGGGTATGTAATTTATTCCAGAAACACTTTTTGTTATATTTCATGGAATGCTCTTAACATCCCGATAGCAATGAATATATTAAATGCTTTGACAATAAATACATACAAAAATGTCATCTGTGGAAGCCGTAGTACTGTAAAAAGCACGACCAATCATTTGAGCCGGCCCGGCTAAAATAACTGGATGGCCTACCTGCCTGTCAGCCTTCCATCTGTGCACAAACTTATCTCGTGCCCTCATTGGTCATGTGCGCGTTCGTGTGTGTTGGAGGAGGGGCTCTGTAAGGAAGTGGCAGATTTGTTCCGGCTGTGTATTTTCAAATTCTAGCGCACTTGAGCTGGTTTCTCCAAAATTACCTACCCCACCTTTAAGAATGTTATGCCTATGCCTATTTTAAGCTACTTTTTACCTCTACTCAACAACATTTCCAAAATAAAGTTTTACTGCACTTCACAACAGGTAAAGTTGTTTTTCTAATTAAGAGGTTACATACAAAATCTAAGATAAGATGCTTCATTTAAACATGTTTACTTGCATCAAAAACAACGCTTTAATCATACGGAAAATAACACATAAAGCAATATAAGAAGAGCCCTTCAGCATAATGCTTTTAATTAACAATTGTATTACTTTGACTTTATAAAAATGTTGATTTTCTACTCACAGTAATTTTATACTAGAGTAAACCTAATGAATAATTATTTTATCCACTTAGGATAATAAATGTCAAAGAGGAGATATTATCCATTGCCTGATCAACAGACTGACATTTCTCTCCCAGGAGCCACACCACTCCTCCGAGTGAGACTGCACTGTTATTGATCACAGGGTAACAATGTGTGGAGAGCTGTCATGCGTACAAACACATCCTGTAACGGCTTGCATTGTAAATTAAACATGAATAAAAAACATAATTAAAAATAGACTCACACATTAATCATCATGAATGAATAATATGAATCCACAAAGCTCAAGAGTGAAAAATGAATGAGTCACACCTGGGTCAGCATTAGTGGAATGTGATGACTTAATACCTTTGTACAATAGGCTTTAGTATTAATTAAAGCTTTTAACTAACATATGTAATTAAGAAGTCAGTTCAACAAGGGGATTTTACATGAGGTGACACAAAACAATCAAGTCAGTGCAAAGCTTATGAGCCAACCTATCGTTCACCATACATGTTTGTGAATGAGTCAATTGATGACTGTAGTTGTGCAACACGACACGGTAAAATGTAATTATGCCGTGCGACATGCTCAGAGCTACCCAGATATACTGCATATGCAACAGTTTGGATGTAGGCGGCAGAAAGGAACGTCTCTACGCCTACCTGCCCTCACTGGGTACAAAAGAAAACAGAAATG